CTCCTTGTAGCTCTGTGTCCTCCAGGTTGCATGGCAGTGACAGGCCCCCAGACGGTGACGGGCCCTGAAGGTGGGTCGGTGTCCGTGACATGCAGGTACAACAAGGGCTATGAGAAGTATGGGAAGTTCTGGTGTAGGGAAGGATATTCTCTCCGCTGTCTCAATGGGGAGCACATCCTGGAGACCAACGGGTTGGAGGCCAAGGTGCGAAATGGCCACTTCTCCCTCCAGGACAACCACAGCCTGAGTGCGTTCACGGTTACCATGGAGCACCTGAGCAAGATGGATGCTGGCACCTACCACTGCGGGGTGCTGAGGACTGCACTGCTTGATCCCAAGCACACTGTGAAGGTGATCGTGTCCCCAGGTAACTTCCTACCCTGCTTCCCCAAGTGATGACAAGGGTGTGGGTACCTGGCGGCTTGGGATCCTGTGCCCCTCTCTAATGCACACAGGGAATCCCCCTCTCACGGGCCGTGGGGCACTGCGGGGGAACGGCCAGGCAATCTCATGAGTACTGTGGATGCTTCATGGAGGGCATGAGCCCAGCCGCGGGCAGCCCCTATCCTGCCAGCATGCCGTCCAGCATCTGGGACTCACTGACTCATGCTGAGGTCCCACAAACTCACTCAGTGTGATGGGGGTGGAGCTGTCATTGCTTCCTGGGGTTTCCCAGTGAGGAAGATGGGCTGAGTGGAGAGGTGAAGGAGTTGTCAGGGCTGGTTTGGGGTCTCAGGGCTAAGCACCCTGCTTTCAGGACTGGAGATGCTTGGAGGAGAGTGGCCTGGTAGCTTCAAGGAGTGGCTTAGTGCTGTGCAGGGACCGGTCCCCCCTCTATGCCCTTCCACGTGGGTTACAGTGAACTATGCCTACTTTGGCCTTGCCCTTTAGCTGCCAGATGAATGATCAATCACACTGTCCTAAAGGAACATCATTGCTGGAAGCGGCACTGCCAACAGAGCTGGCATCCTGCATACTGTTGCGCTAGGGATGCCTACTGCAGATGCTGCCCCACAAGGGACCGCAGTACAGGGGCGCAGTGTTACCACAGGCAACATCTTTCTTTTCCAGACAGGATGGCTCTGCCTCACTCAGATCCTGATTCAGAGAGTCCCCAATGCACCAGTAACAGATTAAGCAGCAGGAAGGAAAAAACCTTCTAAAA